TTTCCAGCCCACCACCTTGCGTCAATTCTGGTCGGCTATTCAGATATTCTTACATGTCAATACGAAAAATCCACATTGGGTTAATCCAGAGCATGTTTGATTTTACGCGAATTAAAAATATTGCAATACCACATATTTTATTGTGTACCACATGTGTACCAAAAAGGATAGATAGTTTGAAGGCGACTGGCGCAATATCATTGTTATAAGCGATCAATAGTTTTCAACTTGCGTTATATTATCAGGATATCTGTCGTCGATTTATTAGGAGTGTTTATAATGCACACGATGGATATTGTTACAGATCTAACTTTGAATTGGATTTATCCTTTGAGTGGGATTTATAGAGGCAAAAGTACAAACATAGCCGTAAATTAGTAAAAACAGAATTGATTATGGACTCGGTAAAAATGATGTGGACTCGAAATCGAATCCGAGTCCAAAAAATGCCTGGATTCGACTCGAATCGACTAGAAAACAATACCTTATGGCAATTATTGATTAATACCTTACATATGTCAAGTCTGCAAGTAGGCCTACGCCTTGGCCTACCAATAACAGTAGTTTGTCATCTGCTTTCCATTGAAATGAGGGAGCTTATGAATATTTAAAAATTTGATAACGGCACATGATGACTCACCATCAACGAAGTGCTGTCCGCAAACAGTGAAAAAGTGAGATGGCTTCTGGACTTGACACCAAGCAGTCCTGCCAATAGATGATATCCACATTGCGCAACGTTCCGGATCCTTGAAAACAGTGGAGTATAACTGAAGATCCATTTCGTTGTCTATACTATACGTACACCCAACGGAACAATACGAGATACGTATACGTATAATCCGACTTGCAACTGACAGGAGCCAAATGGACGTTTTTGTTTTATTGCCGTCCAGTAACAAAGTCCCGTGACCCGTGCAAGTCCTCCATACAATGAGCAACCGGGGCAAAATCGGCGTCGCCCCGTCGACGTTCGGCGAAGGCTTTGCGAGCGAAAAATGAACCATGTCGAAAGAATATGGCTAGTGTAGACAGTCTGTGCAACCGATATTGAGGTATTTTTCGAATATTTTTTATTATACCGAAAAAACAACCGGGGCATTGCCCCGGTTGGCCCTATCGACGCGCCGCCACTGGTTAGTAGTCTGTTAGACCAGCAGCGTCAAGTGGTCTATCCCGTACAATGGGATACTAAGGATAATCGTATCCATGCAGCCAAATGTCAGCCACACTCTCGAAATTTTCTGGACGTTTGCGGTATTCCTGTAGTGTGTATATCAGGTTAGGGTTAGACCATATTTTTATTCCGTACGGCGCTCCTGTAGTGTGTGTACAAATATGTAGGTAACTAATTTTGTTTGCCTACTTTACATCAAGTTGTGTAAAGGGACTGAAACTTATGTGCAGGCGGTATATTCACTTGGCCAACAAAGACAGCCCCCGAACTCATAATAGAACTAAAATAAGGAAAACCATTAGCGATCAATTATATATGCCAACTTCTTCTATTTGTATAAAATCACTGAATTGCGATTGTTTCAACTGCAGCAACACAGATATTGTATCCTACAGGGTCCCTCATCTTATCAACAAACGAGTGAACTGATATTTCATGAACTGGCAATAACAGTCTATTCGAGCCAACAAACGCAACACAATTGTGATCTCCTGGCTTCGATTTTTTCTGCATTCCATTTGTCTCGTTGAAGTACTGGTAATAAATGGGAAAGGTGTAGAGTCTGATTCGTAGGCGCAGTCAAGGTAAAGCAGTGAAGATAGCGTTGACTATTTAATTATGTCTGCAAATATAAAAGTCATACAAAAAAATTTCAAGTGTAACAATAGTCCCTAGAAATGCAAAGAGTTCTCCCTTCGGTGTCCAAGAAAGGTCGAAAAACGAATTAATAAAATGTGAACCATGGCCTCCAGTTCAGGTTTAAGTAAGGAGTTAAACACTGATCACGAGACTACAATCAGAAGAGATAGGCTTGCTAGCAAGTAAGTTTATTTTGATTACTCTTGATACACTGACAAAACAACAGCAGTACAGCAATAACAAGAGAGCTACGCACAAATATATGGACACGTTAGACCAGAGCGAATCAGTCTTTACCGGTACCTTTGACGCTACCGGTACCCTCAAAAAAGTTCTGAATTTCCAGTAGCAAGAATTTTGCAGAATCAAAAGCCAGTCATGACACTGACTAAAATCCGTGTTCACATGGATAAAAAATAATACAGCAAAATTTTAAACGAAATATCAAATTTCATAGAATTCACGCAAAATTTTGAAATAAATAAAAGTAATAGCCTTCTAGCGAAGAAATTAATCTCTAACCACTGAAAATTTCAAAGCAATTGGTCCAGTATTCGAAGAGAAAAGCGATTTTTTAAAAACGTGTCAAAGAACAAGAACAACAACAACATAATATTGAAACGATCGTTATGGCTACTAAACGTGTCCAATAAACAGAATTAGCAGGGAAGCGAGCATAATCTGAAAACGGTAGGTTTGAGACAGGAAAAAGTATTCATCGTGCTTTTTAACTATAAAATCGAATTTATTCTAAATTAAGTATGTACAATTTTCCGCTTAAATGCCACGTCAACTGCGGGATTCTAAGGAAAAGATGATCGATATCGAATATAATGTTTATGCAGTTATAGGATATAAATGTACATTTTGTGTTAATCATAGAAAAGTTAGAATTTAATGAACAGAAGTTTTTAGCATAATTTGTATATAACATCACCATCGAACCCAGTGAAATATTAGAGATAATATTATGTGATCTTATTTGCATAAATTCAATTATCTTGTGAATTTTCCAAATCTTTTGTCAACAGGCATATAGCGACTGCTTGTTCAATATAGCTATATGTACACCGTTGTTCGTTCGCAGCAGCTTGGGTGAAATATTCATAACAAAATATTGCGGTACTAGAATGGAAGAAAGCAAAACTTGTTTGAATTAACAACACATAGTAACGTAGCTTTGCTGGAACAGTGCTAGCTGACAAATATGAAACTATATCTGCTTCTAGACTCCCTACCAATGTTCCCTCTAATTTTTTGTAATATGTGTGCGCAGAAATTTTGGTGTGTGCGCACTTTTTTGGAAATGACTAATATTTGTGCAAAAACCAATGGAAAAAATTTGGCGTTCTAACCGGGTAATGGGTGGGCCAACAACAAACTTTCTCAACCTGCCAACCGAGCACATTGTTACATTACCTCGAAATACGTCTGTGCGCAGTAAATCTATGCGTGTGCGCAGCCTGTGAAAGCTGTGTGCGCGCGCACACCTTAGAGGGAACACTGCTCCCTACCAAACCAAATTGGATCTGGTTTGAGCGATGTTTTCTGTATTTCTGATGAAATTCACTGAGGTGTATTTGAATGCATTCTATCAAAAGCTCTATGAAAGACATTTAAAGAACCTCTCTCGTCATTGTCACTTATCTTCCTGGCTGAAAAGTAAACTGAAAACGTGATAGATTTCACGAATATCTCACATAGATTCATAATCGTAAAGATATATATAAAACGAACAACGAATATAGTCAAGATTTTTATTCAAATCACAAGAAGAATTTCAACAATCATATGAAAATGAAGAAGATTTCAATGCCCCAATCTAAGCTAGTATTACAAGAATATCTCAGAATGGTCAAAAATTTTAGTGATATCGTGCACTATTCCAGAACAGAAGCAAAAATGGCCCATTTCCCCAAAAAGTCTGTATGCAACTTATTAGACACGTTTTTAAATAGTGTTGTAGTAAATAGGGGGGTGCAGAACGGACAAAATAGATTTAAAAATTTAATAACTAAATTTGATTGTAATACTTCGAATGCTGTTTGATTATCGGTTGACGGATTCTTCAAATTGGTGGAACAACTTGGTGACAAAGCTAGAAAAAAGGCAGAACGAGCCGGCTTTGGATCACGGCAACACACTTAATTCAAACGCACAAATTTCAACCATCAAGAAAAATGCAAGATTAATAAAAAACAGGAGACAACATATGAAAATGACAACATTATCTCCCACGATATGCAATCGTTCAAATATTCAGAAATTTTCCTGACAGAGCGACAACTTAGTGTTTTATAATGTATAGAAATGGGTCGCAATGGCCCAAAACGAGATATTTTACTAATTCCAGCTAAAGGCAAGCCCAGTTCTGTTTTACACTAATTGATTATGTACGCATGTAATAAAGCTAGTGCGGAGAAGGAAGACTTTGGTCAAACGAAACGTTAATTAAATACGTTTGTGTTTTGTCATCTTTTACTCTTTTAAGTAGTCAGTCGAGCAGAAACCTAATCAATATCACAATAATCAAAATGGTTTAATAAAATACAAATGGGGTCATGTTGAGTTGTGTATCTAGTCTAGACATTTCAGACGTTCAAACGTTTACACATAGTACTCTATTACTAGGGCACTCTGTAATGTCATATGTGCCATATTTGATTTTGCTGAGACGCAAACTGGGCACCAGGGTTATATGCTCTTCAATGGGGACGTTGGAAATTTACTCAAGAATCGCATTACTCAGTCGCAGACAACTCCAATAACATAGGAAATAACTGATACTGGCGGGTTTGAGTCGACACCAAATGAGTCCATGATGTCTATCAAATCCGTGAAGTAAAACAACTACCACGAGTTATATAATATGAATAGAGGCAGTGAGGATTTAAATCCCGTCGCGAGCTTAGTCCATTTAGACTAGGCTGCGCGCAGTATTATCCTTCATTTCCGTTCCATTGTGCTCATAATACACTGCATATTAGCGTCTTCCTGTTAGCGAAATCTGCGCTGATATCACTTCTCTCGTGTTTCCGAAGTTGGCCTGCGGCGCATTTCCGCGGAAAGGTTAGTTGGTGTACGTATGTGTTTAGAACCGTAATCAATAGAATATTACCTGGAGATTTAATGAATGAATTCCAGTAATGACTTGTCTAACATTTCGTGTGACCTAAGATTCATGTCAAACATGAGGCATTGGTCCGCAAACATATTTCAGCTGAGCAATTGACGATAACATGGATCGTTACAATAAGATCTATAGTGTTTTGCTGACTTGGATTGCTTACGTATACGTAGGTTAACAGCTAATAGCAGATTCGAGAATAGTGAGTGCTTCACTGTCGTGAATTTTATAGAAGATACAAGCAGTAAGCTACAAAAGCTGATAAAATATCTCATTTTTAAAAATGTTTCAGGAAATTAGGGATTCAAATTACGACAAGCAGGGCTTGATATTGATGGTGACTCTGAAATTCAATATCTAATCACTTGAATGCGAACAGTGTGTGCTGAATGTGCTGCACAAACAAGGTCAATTTACAATATTCATTTCCTCGCATAAATTCACGCTATCAGCCGGAAAACACTTTTGTGTCACCTGCTTTGTGTCTTGAGTACTGACCATAGCGTCGAGACGTATTTGTGGAGTTTGTTACACGTGTGTATATTATAATTTTATAGGTGCATTTTCGTTATCTGTTATTTAGAATAATTTAATTCGATGGTGTAACTTCACAATATATTACAATTCACATCACTATTATGTGCTGTATGGACCTTCGAATGAGTTAGATTCGATTTGTTGCTATAGACGTACGTCGAATACAAAAGTAATAGTACACGCAGTGAGGGACTTATTCCATTTAAACCTAATTTTTTATGCTTACTCCAATTAGATTCATAGATTAAGATGTGTGCTACATTATTTTAGTGCTCATGAGTTTTTTTATGAGAGGCAAGGTTGCACCATTCGTCGCATCATAATCTACTTAACAGGGTTGATTTATTTACTTGACTTCATTGACCAGTCTGTGATTAAAACATTTGATGATTGTGATATTAATTAGTTTGTGATTACAACTTCCGGTGATTGTGATTCTAATTAGTCTGTGATTACAATTTCTGGTGATTGTGATTCTAATTAGTCTGTGATTACAACTTCTGGTGAAATTGAACATAATTTTCTTACCAAATTTATAAATTATTTTTTTCAACTGATATATTTTGCTAGTCAACAGGGATACTGTTAGGATGTCTCAAATCAAAGTTACTCCATTATTCGTGGAAGGCGCTTATGTTATCGAATTCCCACAATATAAAGATCACCGAGGTTATTTCGAAGAACTATACAACGTGACAAAGTACCCTGAAGAGATTCCCATTACAAAAATACAACAATTATCGACCTCGCACTCACATGCAAATGTTTTCAGAGGTGCTACCATTTTCTTTGTGTTATCTTTCCTAGATCGTTTTTTTTGTTCCTCATCCACATTACAAAATATTTTTTTTTCCAAAATTACGTATACTCGTTCAGCTCCATTGCTCCTACTGCTGATTAAATCCTCTGTCCAATCTTAAATCTTTGTTTTATTGTTTGTAATACTACTCTGCAGGGTCATTTAAAATTGTTTTATCTACAGGTCTACATTGTTCACCGTACTACAAGCTTGTAACGTGTGTATCTGGAGAAGTTTACGATATCATTGCTGATGTCCGCCAAGACTCTTCTACGTATTTGAAGTGAGTGCCGTGCCGTCTCAATATGTTTAGTAGTCTAACAGAGAGCGTAAATGTACCTCAAACAAATATGTTCGACAGCCCTTTGTCGACGGCTTTTAACAAACTTATAGCATTATAGTGGTGATACCGATTGATTTTGGTTAACAGGAAAAAATGTATATTATGTCATAACGTAAACCTTTATGCTCTCATTTACTCCTTTGCATATTTCTAAAGTAAAAGTTCAATTTTTACTCCTACAAATTCCTATGACGGCTTATAGTCATAAGGCGAAAAAGCAGAAATGAATATCAATGTAAAATTATAGGTGCGGATGACCGGATTTGCCTGTTTCGAGTTCATGTAATTACAATTAGGGCACGGGGTAATACTATTTTAATTTATAACGCACGGATACACTGTGCTGTAGTGAGAACATAAAACATTTATACGCAACAGATGACGTTGCAATCTCAGCAACGTTGCAATCTGCTACATTCTAAAGGGCGTTTAATCATGCAGTGAAAAAAGCCGATATCGGCTTATCGGCTATGCTATTCGTGTATTGGAGAAGGATGTTTTTTTTGCTTGTGAAAATTTATCCTCAGGCAGTTCAAAAGTGCCTACTTGACTTGAAACAATATTTGATACTACTGGAAGCTCAATAGTTGCGCCTCTTTATTTTTGATTGTCTAACCTCAAAAATTTGGAATTTCTGATGGGAATGTGCCCTATATTTTTTCAGATGGGTTCGAGTAAGACTGACGGCTGAAAACCATAAGCAAGTATTTGTACCCGCAGGATGTGCTCATGCATTCTATGCAACTAAAGACAATTCTATTATGGTGTATGCTCAGGTGATTTGCTTGAAAAAAAAAATGGGGCTCCCGAAGTATGCGAACCAAGATGGCGGACATCGGAATGTAATATGTGCACTAGGTTAGGGTTAGGCCATAATTTTAGGTATAAATACTACGGGAGGCTCTTGGCTAGTCTTCGAACTGATAATAGGACTAAAATAAGGAAAATTGGAAAAAAATTATCGCCTAACCCTAACCTGTTACCCATGTTACGTTCCGATGTCCGCCATCTTGGTTCGCATACTTCGGGAGCACCAAAAAACTTTATAAATTGAACATGCCACTGCAAATGAAAATGAAGAATCTAAAACCTAATATTTATTCATGCAAAATTTGAACAGGGTGGTACATTCAACCCAGTGTCTGATAGGACAATATCGTGGAAAGACCCTGTTCTCAGCATTCAGCTACCAACATGCGATGACGTCATAATTTCAGAAAAGGATGCAAAGGCAGTAGATTTGCAACTTGATCCAATTAAATTTAAATCAAATAGAAAACGGATCCTGGTTATCGGAGCCTCAGGAAAACGTGAGCAACATTCTCATTGACTGCATTGAACGAAGTTTTGTTTGAAATAGTCATATATATATATATATATAGTGCTTAACAAAAATCTGTAGGGCTAAGTTAAATTTCCCAAAAAATACGTTGACAAAGTCTTTGTGGCCATTGCTCTCTCAACTTTCCTCATTTTAAATCTCAAGTTGACTTTGAGCCCAGTTTGAGACCCATTTTAATTAGTTATTAACAGATTAATCGTTTTCAAATAAGTTTAAGCTCGTTAGCCTTGTTTCTGATTTTAGGCGAAATATAGTTCAAAATGCTCAATCTCAGCATATCAGGGATAAAACAAACTTCTATATTTTACAGTTGGAAGTGCAATATGTTCATATGTTGATGAGAATTGTGAAGACATGATTACATTGAAAACACACTTTGAACACAGAGTATCTAAAGGTTCTATGAAGTACGACTTGGAACTAGCTGGAAAGTACGTAAAGTTGTGCTAAATTACATGGCGAGTCCAATTACATTTTAATTTAAAAGTTTCATCGTCAATTTAGGTATGCTCGGCAAAATGAATATCCGAAACAAGCAAATAAAGGGAAAAAGTAGAAAACCGCTATAATGGCGTTCAAATTTTAAATAGTTTCTATGCATATTTAAACTAAAAATGTCAAAATTTTGGTGGTATGTCATGCATACCGGTGAGGGCCACGGGGGCATCCTCCCCTGCAGCACGCTGTATAAGGGGCAGCAGATCCAAATGGGGGGAATTAGAGTTTGAATTTTTACACATGTTTTACTTGATGTGTTTTTATGTAAGTAAAAACTGACTTTACCTGTACAGTCAAGAGTGTGACTGATTTTGATGGAGCCGAGTCAGCAATGGCTCACCCTGTATGCCTGCGATAGAATAAGTGCTTACAGACTTTATCAAATTCATAAATAGGGAGTAAAACGATGTAGTTCAGACAATCAAACCATGTCTTCAATATGTTATTAGCTTTTGCAATTATAATTTTTTCTTTGACACCCCAGGGATCTGGACCACGCCGACGATGTACTGGATATTTGCTGCCCTCAAGTGGTTATAATATGTGGATCGTGGACAAACGTGGGTCAGTGCGATATTGAACCTGATAAATCCGCTGAAGTTATGATCAAAGGGCCGGCAAACATAGCCAAATGTGCAAAAAGAAGAGGAATCAAAGTTGTAGCCATTTCTACTGACTATGTTTTCGATGGCAAAAGAGGTATGATATATACATATGAAGATAACAACCTGGATCATTGTACTGGCTGCTAGGAATTAGCTTGCTATTTCACCAATAATTGAACTTTAATAGACAAACTACTTCTACGCAAATAAGCTATTGTTATACTTACCAATTCTGATAAATGAGAAAAACACGAATTTTTCATATGGTTGCATTTATTTTCATGTAGAGCCGATATCACTGACAAAAAAAAAACTGAAATTTGCTTCATAGGTATTAAAGATGGTCCCTACAATGAAGAAGATGTTGCGAACCCTTTTTCTGCATACGGTAAAAACAAATATGAAATGGAAAAGCAAATCATTGATGCCACTAACGGTGATGCATTGATTGTAAGAACAACGACGGTAAACGGGAAAGATCACCGACAGTCTGGCGCTTTCTATACCTTGTATGAATACTTAATGAGTGGAAAAGAATTCTTTGTTCCAGAAGCGGTAAATAATTTTTCTTTGCCACATATCGAGCCTAATTTAAATAACAAATATTGGTACCAGGACAAATTTGATGTGGTACCTTAGTTCTAAAATTAACAAGGTTTTATCAATATGCAACGGTCTACAATAGGGGTGTGCAGCCTGCAGCCCGCAAGTAAAAAAATTGTGCGGTCCGCGAAGAAGTGCCAATTTTGAATGATGTTCGGCCCGCAAAACGAGTTTTCAATTCAGCTAAATCTGATACGTTCAAGTGATTCCAATCTCTTCGAGTTGCAAAGCCTATACCGGAGTCCAATTTATCATCCACGTCTATGACGTCACAATACCTAACAGCTAGCTTGTGGAAGCGAACAACGCATGTCACAAGATCAATAACCAAAATTTTGTAGCCGAAACTAACAGAAAGCCTATGCTGAAAAAATATGCGGCCCGCGGTTTTACAAAGTTATTTGTATCTGGCCCTCCTGTATTAAAGGCTGCACACCCCTCGTCTATGATATTGCTCCATGGTTTAACAAGGTTCTTCTGCGGTGACCGATGAGAAAGGCAAACGATCAAAATTTGTATAAAGATTATCAACACTAAAAAACATTGAGCAGCTGTGTCATAATACTCCATTTTCAGTTCATTGAATCCAAATTCTATATTTTTGAGAAAACGTTTAGAATCATGAAAAATCTCATTGTGAAATTACTTTGTGTCACAAGGGTCTAATATATATCTCCGTTTATTCGAGTCAACTCTTGTTTATTCTGTTGCTGATAACGTCATTATTTAACTAGAAATTCGAATTTCTTGAAAGTGATCCACTTCTCCATGTGATAGCAGATGACACCAAAATTTATTTTTTCTTGTTGACAGTAGTAATTTTTCATGTCATTGAACTCCTCAATAAAGAGGTGCCATTGCAAGGGATTTTTTAACATAAAAATCTTATTTATTTGCTTTAATATTGCCGTCATTACATAATTCAAGGGTTTCAATGACAATGCATGGAATAACTTGCCGTGGATTAATAACTATTATCCTGAAATTTGAGGCCATCATGAAATATCCCACATTGAAATATTGATACAGTCCGATTGCAATTTGTGAATGTTTTAGAATTTAGAATAATCGTCTTTGCCTCATTACGATTCGGAATAACATTTATATTCTCAAAATTTCCCAGTTGCTCACTAGTGAATCTGTCTCAAAATCAACCCTCCGTTATTTTAAAAATGTATAATTTCAACTGATTTTATGCCATAACCATTGCTTGTTCACAGTTTGTATGAGTTTATTTCTAAACCCGTGAAAAAACACCAAAAAAATCTTGCAAAAACAGTGAAAAAACACCAAAAACCCTCTTTCGTGCCTTGAGTAATATTATTTTAAAACTTTATTCTTTTGCAGACACGATCACCAACATACGTAAAAGATTTGGCCAAAATTGTCATAGAATTGATAAAGAATGACGCAAAGGGAATAATTCATGGGTGTGGAGACGAAATTGGGTCTTTACTCGACTATTTCCAAAAGGTCACAGTTGTTATGGGTTTCGATCCCAACTTAATAAAAACAAGAGAAAGAAACAAATATCAACCTGAATACTCTGCCATGTCATCTGACAAGAGAAAGTATGTTGAAAGTTTTTTTTAATGTTTTCCATTCTCTCTATTACCAGAGAGTGTTTCAAGTTGTTGATGTAGATATACTATTGTTGATTGGTATCGCGAAAAGTGTTGCGTCCACTTCACTCCATTATGGGGTTTCAGAAACATAATTATTCCATAAAATTAGTCTTCTTCAATATAATTTGCCTTTTCCACAAAATTGATGGAACAACTTCTTGAAGAAAAATTGTTGCTCTTGAAAATTGACAACTGCATCAATATCGAAATATTGGAGTTCCTTTTTTCAGATACGATGGTCTTTAATGACAACCGATAACAGATATGCATATGTGTTTTTCTTCATACAATGTCGGTCTTCGTGATATAATTTTGGATTATTTTTGATAGCATTTGGAAAGGTCTTTTTTTAATTTTCTTACTACTATGAAATGAACGTATATGAGTTAACCTTGAACGGTTAAACAAATGTTCTAAAATAAAATAACGTTTCCTATTTTTTTCTAGAAAACTTCTTCCTAATTTTAAAAGCCGTTCAACTGAGGAAGCTGTAAGAGATTGGATGGATATGGAAGAAGAATTTTGTAACAAAATCAAACAAAAACATTCCAAATGAAAACACGAATACAGGGTACCGTGAATATTGAGATTGGCGTATCCGAATATTGATAAATACAATATAATATATAATCAAAGTATTTGTATTTTATGCGTAAAAAAAAATTCTAAATGAGAGTATGGCGTTTAGTTCGTAGTTTCAAATGTGTGGCAAAGACTATCAAGCCTTTGCCATTTTCAAGATATATGTTCCCGCTATTTCCAGTTATCTTGTTAGTTGCTTCTAAATCAATCTTACGATAATATTGGACACGAAGCGGACATGCAGATCGTTCAGTTGTTATGTTGCTGTTGTTGTTAGAATTCCTGTTGTTGTTGTGTAAAAATCCCTTTGCTCTTCAACTGCTCGGTTTGAAATTTTCAGTGGTTGAAGTATGTATTGTCGCTAGAACAGTGCTCGCCAACCTTATTTGGAGTGGTATACACCCTTTGAACCCTTCCTCAAAATCTGGTACATCCCGCTCATCCTACATTTTTAATACGTAAATAATGTTTAGAAGTTATATATATATACAAATATGTTTTTATGTCGATGCAATAGTTTATTATTTATTTAATGTGAACGTTGCTCTTGGATTCAATCATCCAGTCGTGCAGAGCGAGGTTATAATCTTGTTTCCAGTGACCCTCTCATCAGTGTATTAGTGTCGGTGGTTAAATTTCCTGGATTCCAAAAAATTCCTTGTTTGTGAAGGTATGTCATTCGTAAGGAATTCATTCATTTTGTGCAAGCGATTGCGATACTCGGGAACTTTTATGGTAGTTCTGCTCAAATCGTTGTAGTTTTTTTTTTATCTTTTAAACTCTGCATTTTTTTACCGGATCTGATCGTAATTCGAGCAGTTCGCCAGTAAGATAGACAGGAGCAACCTCTGCACTTGCGAATGGCTGAATGGCCCATATTAGAGAACCAAGATGATGATATTCAACAACCGTAAAACAGGCTCCCAATTTGAGCTGTAGCACATCAAGATGTTTTCGTACAATTGACCTCAACTTGGTTTCCATGTTTGGGTTTCCGATTTCCCATTCACAAATAGCCCAGACATTCAAAATTGAAAATATGTCAATTTTCTACATTATTCTGCCACAATTTCAATTTCATTTTAAAAGTCGGAATCTTGCTACTAGCTTTAAAAATATAGCATCTCTTCCCTTGCATCAATAAATTTAGGTGATTTCTGATTTCAAATATTGCTGTTAGATAGGACAATTTGCAAGCCAAAAGATATTTTGTAAACTAACAGCCCGAATCAAACTATAGCAACCAGCGAAAAACAGACAGATCTTTCCACAGCAGAGAAAACTCATTTCAAAACTTTTCCTCTCGATAACCAGCGCACTTTGGCGTAATACAATAGCCTCAATTCATTTGCCTCCATGTCTTTGTGCAAATTTATGTAAATAGTATATGCTTCTTAGAATGAGACCGAATAAAATCCAAATCACTTTTCTCACCCTTTTCGTAGTTTAGTTTTTTTTACATCTTACGACAAGAGCCTATTGATATATGTATCGTTAAAAAGGTATCGAACTGCTACAAAAGTATATTGTGACGCTATACCTAAAACAAGAAGATTACCAAAATAGGAAAATGCCATACATAAGTTTAGACGCATTTAATTAGCATATCGTGTGTTAGTGTGTACCCGTTCAAGATTAGGTACGGTACACCCTATCGGTGTGGAACACCCTTCAAACTTTTGTTACACCCTGGGGTGTACTATACACCCGGTTGACGAGCACTGCGCTCGAACGATGTTACTTTTATTTATTTCAACGGGCTCTGAGATTTGTTTTTCGTCTGCAATGACGTTACCGAATTAAAAAATGCGTGTCTTGTGGCGAGTTCTCGTTCGTGGTAATGGTCAGGCGAAGTCGTGGAAACTGCGGTGCCGATCGTCTGATGTGAATGATTGCATAACTATACTACTTTGTTTTGATCTTCGTGTTCATGCATTTGAGCATCAGACTCTTGTTATATTTATCATATATAAAACTTGCTCATTTATGTTATACTACAAAAGGGATAACCAAATCGATGTCGCGAACAATAAATGATCAGTTTTCCCTGTTCAATATTTAGCTCAAGTCATTCAAACATTTAACTCTGGTTGCTGCTATTTTTCGAATATTTATTCCAAAATACTAAATATATGACTAAGCCAAATTTTAGTAATCATTAATCGAAACACGATGCCACTGGTCTTAAAATGTTATGCCCATAAATGACAAAAACGAAAAAATTTGTTAGCATTCATTTTTACCAAAGACTACAAAATATATATAAAGCATGATATGTATACACATAAATTATTGATCAATTAAAGAATATGAATTTATTGAATAATTGATGTTCTTTCGTGTCACTTGTGGATGTCACATTTATCTTCGACAGGAAAATCGTTACCACGATCGTGTCGAGTGAGTAATCATCGTGCTGTTATTTGGGTATTTGGTGTTGAGTATATCGAGTGAAATAAAAATGTAGACATACTGATATACAAGCAAACTTTCCGCCAGTGTTGATATTTTTATGGATTCGTCTTCTTCAAGCAACGTAAAAATAAGGGCGAGCAGTAAATAATGCAAGCAGCGTTTGAGCATATTAATCGTGCTGAGTAGCCTATTTGAAGAATCGAATACAACACAGTAAATTTAATACATAAGATAGTCAATTCTTGACAACCATACTATTACCAATGCCAAAAGTTCGTATTCACATATATCAGGATACAAATCACATCCAGCTGATGTTCATAAGACCAACGTCCGTCAGCAAATGATTCATATGGGTGTTCGATGAATATAAATGATTCATTATTAGAGAATGTCTCGAAGAAAACAAGCTGTTATTGCAAATAATTTTTTTAACTTCTAGCAGTGGGTGAGTTTCGCAATTGCAGATTGATAGAAGTCAATCGCGGAAAAAGTACGTCTTCACGGTGAATCATATGTTTTAAAAGACTTATCACCCCATGATATTAGATAGTATTACCACCCAAGATACCGTATAGGAATTCCAGCTGCATTGATGTACTGTGGTTTTGCATCAGAACTTTCGAATTTGGACGCCAGTCAACCGTTTTTCCTCATTATGTTGATTGAGCATTGAGCAGCCATTTTAGTTTCGTTTAATGAAATCAACAGAAAAATTGAAAAACTTCCCAAAGTCATGAAAATCTGATTTTATATCGCCATGCATTTTTAGACAAGAATTATAGCAACGGTTTTCACAAATAAAAAAATTGGGATTCTTTTTATTGAAAAAGTTTTTACTAACAGAACAAAACTCCTAAAACATGTGTCTATCTATATGCCATATTTGCAACTTGCATTGAATTTTTTTGTTTTTCAAAGACTTATTGTATGTACTTTTCTTGACTTATCCCGACTTATACAGCTCTGAGCGACAGGTTACTTGTTCGTTTTTTAAACATATATTTTGTTTATTATTCCAATAGTTGAATCAAGTAATTTATCAGCAGGATCATATTATATATATATCTTGCCTACTCTTGTCGAACAATGCCGTTGACTTACATCACTTTAAAAAACAAAGCAGCGCGATTGAAGATAATGAATGCTCGGTAAATAAAGCACCCTTCCCTTGATACGGGAAATCAGTTATATCTCTAATATTTATATTCATGCTGTAGAAAATGAACGCGTTTTCAACTTGAAAATAGACCATTCTCTTCCGGGCTGACAAAAATGCTTCCAGCAGAATCGACAAACTGAAAAAAATGAATAAATATTATCAAAAAATCAAAATTTATCAAACACTGGCATAATTCAATCTCAATACAAATCGATAAGTTTCAATAGAAATCTGTTAGTATGGTTATTTTCCCAGATGCATTTACTAATTCTTTTGTGATCTATTTTCGTCGTTCAAATGTACGAAATTGCGATTATATTAGAGAAAATCATACATATTCGTTGCCATCATCAACTGTTTCAAGCAATACTATGTGCAGCCCCTTAAAACCAGATCAAGTATCCTAAAAGATGTAATTCCTCGGAAAAAATTCAAAAATTATATCATTTTGTGCTCAGTTGTGTTCACTTCGAATTGAGTGAATGCGATCTAGCAAGTAAAGAAGCTAGCTTCACATAGCAAATGTGATGTTTGTGGCTTAGATTAGCAATATTAGACATTCAAAAAAAGAATTTAATTTAAAAAAAATAACTAAAAAATAAACACAATTGTCTTAAGTGTTGGATCCAAACCTCAAAACTAATCAACAAAGTCATATCACCCGTAACAATCGTCGATATCATCCTTGCGCGTAGGGTTTTGTTTTTTATCAATTATAAACAAGGGCTTGTTTTAAAGCAATTTTTTTTTCTGTATTCACGCCAAAATGTTGCGTTCTGGCAGCTGAACATGCTGCTGGAATAATACGTTCAAAAATATTATAAGGAATAAAATAAAAATTTCGACTTCTACTGTCATTGCGCAACTTTATTGCTAAGTCAGTACATGCCCCAAAGTCATAAGATTTAAACAGGGATGTTTATCCGAAATATCTGAAAGATGATTTGAGTAAAAAATGCATGAAAACTAATGAAACATAGCTCACGGGCCTACTAGAATCCAAAAGCAGTTATACCAGGGGGCCCGCTTACCGCCAAAATTTGGCCAAACAAGTACGTTGATACAATAATGTGGAATATACTTTGATCGGTGGCAATTAACCAAAGTTCGAATCGGGGCCGGACTTGTACGATGAGACATTTCAGGCTATGCTGATTGTGAATCTCCGACTATAACAATGGCGTCACAACCAATTTCTTATGACGTTATAAGAGGGATTTGGAAGTTATGTAATATGACACCGCAAGTACATTTCAAAATTGCGTAAATTACAAAATTTTGGCTACCGAAACGATGTATATATATATATATATATAGGTTTTTTAAAGTTATACAAATTCAATAATTCGTTCGTATTCCAATTTCATTTCGTTTAATTGGTAAATGTTGACCCTGATTCAAATCCCATGAGAGATGTGACAATTTGGAAGAGGATTGCTGAAATCCTCGCCGCCGCAGAGTGATTCACCTAAGGGCGTAACGGCTTACCGGTTGCGTCTTTCTCCAACAACCACGTATGCGGACGTATTGCGCTACAGCTCGAGAAGGCGACTATGGGCTAGTCATCAATATTTGTGGCGTTTCGAAAGGTTTATCGCGATTGGAAAGTTTTTACATCCATTTTTTATTTTTGTTTTAGACTTAGCCTATTTGATACAAAAAAATCGAATACCACATCCATTTTAAACAAAGCAGGTAAAAAAAACTCGATTTAAAATGATTATTTTAAAACAATTCCTTTTCAACAAATCTTTACTTACGTAACTGGGGTCGTAAATTTCATTATAGCTTACATGGTTCATTTTTTGGGCCATAATGAGAGTTCCACAAATTTAACGTAGGTTTCCTGATTTGCATTCACAAATAAATTAGCGGGCGTAAGAACTGGCGACGAAAATTTAAAAATAGGCAAGACATTGAAGCATACGTGCTGCTAGGATGGGGCGGGTGAATACTTTAACGGTACGGTTTTCATGAAAAACATAAAATGGTAGTAAACTTTATAGTAACTTTTTGGGAGTGTCTCGTTTTGTTCTAAATTCCATCTCCAAGTTTTTATTTGACTCAAAACAATAAACTTTAAACTTTAAAGTCTAGATTCACTTTGTGTGTGTGTTAGAAAAATAAGAAAAGTGTGTCGATGTTTTGGATATAGGTCAAAAATACGGCTGTTACGTATATATATCTGTTACTGTCACGCAATGGTAATGGCAAGCGACTCATTTCTTTTCTATGAATTTTTATTTAATTTTATTTTAGAGTTCTGGGGATGGGTTTATTGAGTAATTTTATTCCCAAATTATTTGTACTATTGATATTTTATTTGAATTCGGATCTATCATTCTCATCATTGTTCATGTGTTTTTAAATGCTTGTGGGTGAATCTTGTAATGTGCTGTCGGTCTTGGAATTTGTCAGAAGATCCCATTGCATACAGTGCACCTTAGAAATTGACTACAGAATATAGTACTATTTATTTTTTTTAACCGTTGTTGTAGTGTAGACAATTAGTTTTCATTTGATATTAAATTTTTGACGCTCTTATTGCTTAAATAAATTAGCAGGGCATTTAGCATAGCATTTCCCAACCAAACTTTTTCGACCGCGGACCACTGTTTGTGAATCTTATTTATGATGGACCCCGTCTTATGCCGTGTCAATTGATGTGCCTAACCAACGAGAAAAGATTATGTTTCCTTTGACGAAATGAAAGTCTGAATCAATGCATACTAACTGGCAGGCTAATAGCAATTCGATTAAATTATGACCTATTTGTATATGTTCAGACTCTTTTCATATCGTTGCGGAGACCCTAGTTTGGGAGACCCTGAAATAAAGCTAATATTATATAATGTATATGATTCAATTTTATGACACATTAAAATTAACACCGCCACATTGTGATACAAACCAATTTAAATAATAAGGTTTGGTTAAATTTTATCCTGGTCACAGGTGGGCAGAAACTGAGAAATGGAATAATCTAAAATGCATTAACGTCTAGTTTCTTAACTAATCCTATGTGAACATAAAATTATACAAGTTTTATTCTTTTTGGTCAGAAAAGATGAATAGAAATAAGAAAGTTTAATTCTACATGCACCTTGTACACGTATCAATTTGATTTTACAAGTATATTTTTCTTGAATTCTCCCATAGTGACAGTGACATATATAAGTTTTCAGATCTCAAGTTCGAACTTGTTCAAACTGTTTGCGCGTGGGATATCATAACCGCAAAATTTAATCATTGTTAGAAAATTCATCAATAAAGGACAACACACGTCTGACAACCTTGATCCTACATTTTGATGTGGCAATTTTATTACCTATCACAAAGTAATTACAACGAGATGACAGCTGGCATTTATAATATTGCTGGTTCGTAATCGGAATAAATTTGATATCCAGAAATTTGATTCTAAGAAAGAGTTTACTTTGGAACCTCCAAGTCTTGATGGATGATGAAGATTGAACCCATGTGAATCTCGACCCCATATGCCCTTCTATTAGAAATTCTTTACAGTTGTCAGTAATTCCCCCCCCCCCCCACATAAAAGGGTGTTTACAGAATTCATAAAAATAAATACGGAGAATGATTTAAACAAAAGGTTTAAATTGAACATGTAATAAAGCATATATTTTCGTCAATACAAAAATAAATACTTCGTCTTATCAAACTGGGCCAATCACTTAAAGAGATAGAAGTGTAAAATTCCAAAATCATTGCTAGTTGCTAGGCAAGTGTCGATTTTTCTTGCGAATGTATAAAATAAATCGAAATTGAAATCAAAGCCAGTAATGAACAACTCGTTGAGGAAAACGGAAAGAAAAATTAAGAAAATAACAAATATATATACCGAACCGGAAAGTATTACAAAATAAAAATAAAGAAAAAATCCTTCGGATTCTATAAAATATTTGAGGTTGTTGATTCAATTTAATTCCAAAATTTCATGGTCTAATCCGCAGCACGGGAACTGACATAGAATTTATGAATATTGTTACAACTTGTTTGTACAATCTTTCACTAAATATTTGTTAATCGCCAATTCAATCATTAGTCAGATTTATTTTTGAAAACAATAAACAGAATTTCTTTGATTCTATTTCACGAAAGTAAATATATCTATTTTGGTATAACAGTTGCTCGTCATTTGTTGGTATTCACCATTGGTATAATATGATTTTACATCAGTTCGCATTGTGGATAGATTGCGTATATATAAAGCATCACTCACCCACCAGAGTTAACACACGGCTCCCCAAAGTGGTGACAAATATTGAATTGCAATATTCCGAACAAAACAGTTGGTAGCTCTATTTTCATCTCTTGTTTATGTGTAGCTGTTATTTGAAGTTTGAAATACCGATGATGCAATTTGATTGGCGTTACCTCTAGAGTTTTAACCTTTTTTTTTACTGTGCCGTCTAAAAGCATTCCAACCATATTTCTGAAGTCAACTTATTTCGTAATGCAAAAACACATTGCTTTTCGGTAGCGTTCACCAAACCACCACCTGCCCCAAGCAAAGATAACAGTTGGATTAAGGTATTATGCACGAGACCGTACGATAAAACAAACTTATTTGACCTATTTGAAAAAATTTACACTCAAGCGCAATCGTTCACGAAACGTTTAATATGCTAAAATTTAACTTAAATTGTTAGCCAATGATGGATTTACTAATTATTTGGGTTCTGGGTTGCACATAGGTGGCTAGCAGTTACCAAAAGAAAATGAGTGAAAAAGAGTAATGAGTTGTTAGATAGGATATCTTGAAAGAGGTTAATATAAACACGCAGCCAATATGTATTTCTTGAAATCATTCTCTTGATATTTGTTTTGAAATTTGAAACCAGCATGCGGATGGGCTAAAAGTAATACATGCTTTGCCACAAAATTTTCTTACGGAAACGATGCTCCTCATTTATTCATTACAGCACTTTACAAAAAAAAATCATTACCCCAAATGAGCTACCTATGCTACAAAGTGTATCCATAAGTCATAATTAGGGATTTCGTATTACAAGATAATACTCATCACTCGATCATTCATTCTTTTTCCAACCAATATGATAAAATGACAACAATGGTTATATATATATACAGATATTTTTTCCTTGTAATGTAATCTTAATTAATAAAGCTTCACGCAAAAAGATATTTATAAAAGTTGGTTATACTTTGTAATAATCATTTATGCATTTACCATAGTAAATTATCTAAATATCTTTTTTTTTTTAACAACGAAGCCGGCTTTTTTTTATCGCTGATTACCATGATGGTACCGGACCACACACACGCTAAATGGTGTTGCGAGTCCTTTTCGAGATATTTGAGTGTTTTTGAGGGGGTTGTTTGTGTATTACGTTGATTAATGAACCAGTTTATTCCCGGTTAGTCTGGCCGCAGTTTGTGATGAATCATCTTTACAAACTTTCAGAAACAGAAGCGATATGAAAAGCTAAAAGCGATGCAAACTAAATATAAATGAGTAAACGAATGGAATGAACGAATATTTATTCTCTCCTTTTTTAACAGCAATTTGCTGCATTTTCATGCTATTCATCAAAATCTCACTCTCTCACATGGAAGGACACAAATATTTTAATTTATTCTCTTTCACTGAACAGAGATGAAATCCTATTGTATTTAAGTGTTATTCAACAAGGATTGATCACGCAATCATCGCGCATTTATATATATAATAATATAGATCAAATTAGATTATCTTCTCGTGGTTAATATGAAATATAGTGCCATACTCGTGTAGCATTGTTCTATTGCTCGGCTCGGCGGTGTGGCGCATCGTGCTAAGCGTTAGAAACACGATTCCCTCCGCAACTCTGATTACTCTGCGTGGGTTCTGATCCCGTGGGGTATATTTATTTGCGGGAAGAATACTGGGCTTCTCTCCAACCTAGGGTGGTTCACGTAACCGCTGGTCGGTTACGGCTTCATCCACCATCAAGTCCATTTATCTGGAAGTTCATTTTTATACGTTCACAATAGGAAGAATTGAAGTAATTTAACACAACACATTTATATTCTTACGTTTTCTTTCGCCTCTCGTGTTGAATTGATGACAACTTTTTTCTTCTTCCAGCGCTGGACAGTAGAAGTTCAAACATTTTGTTCGCATCTTCTTGTACATTCGAAAGACTAAAGAGAATGGAATCGCCCAATCAAAAATGCTTGTCTCAACTAAAGCGCACAAAAATTTCCAAATATCGATATTCGTTGTAAAATGACGTTCCGGTGTGCATCTCATTTTTTAAGACTTTAACTGGAAACAAGCCAAAAGCGCGTACCTGCATGAGAGTTTCTTGCATCCGAATACAAAATGCAGATGACCAGCACAAACAACGCACATAGGGTGTAATAAGCAATCCGTTTCATGATGTTGGTAATAGAAATACTTTACTTTACGTTGAAACTATGTTCTATTTTGTAAAAAAAAGTTCAAATTATTTTTAGGCAAGTAAATAAAGAAATGCCTTTAAGCATAAATACTCGCGTAATTATTGTCGTTTTTTTTACCCATTATCCTCTCTCTGTTGGTTGTTTTGCCCTGTGTTTGTTATCATTACAGAAACTTTAACATGCTATCAGATAAGACAATTTTCACAACACTGTCCCAAAGATCACAGCCTTTCTGCCGTTTTCTTTTTACATTCTCTGACAAACTTTCGAGATTCTGAAGCACTAAAATTATGAGTTAATAATGTCACTGAGAAATTATGCGTTAAAGGGCAATAATTGACATCTAATGTATTTTCAGCATGAAAGCATAATTTTTTCGATTATAATTGATAGTTAAGCTATGATGGAATATTGAAATTTTCACGTTCTTTATATATGTTTATATAAGAAAATCCAGCATAAAATAGATGAATAAATCCCAAATTTTATGCTTGAAATAATGCGACCACGATTATCATTTTAAAAGCAGAACAACGAGAATTTGTTAAACCGCATTGATCGCATAATCCATTTACACGCATTGAATCATGAAATAGAATAGAAAACCATAGTTCCGTTAACAAAAATGAAATATTAAACAAACAATGGTGAATGGTATTCTCAATACACTTATTTGAGAGACTTTTTCTCATCGATTGGCAACTGCACTTGATCTAAATCTAATCTTCGTTTATCTGTTATTTCACTTCTTTCATCAAAAAACGTTCAATCGGTATTTGACAAACGTACTGTCACAACTCAATTCTAGTTTGAATTCCATCGTATGATTTGGCTTCAGCATCAATTACTTGTCTGTCTGTCTGAACAACTATCATGCTTTACTATATTCACAAAGTAAATTTAACATCATGTACTGCGGTAATTCACTTCCGTCAACTGGTATTTCGAAGCATAAAATAAAATTGAAAATATCTGTATAACGTTGATGCAAATTTCTAGTAATTTTTTCCGAACAAATATTTCAATTCACGTTCGCCTAAAAAAGAAATATTAAAAAATTTTGTATATAGTCGGAAATTTTTTTCTCCATTACTCAGGAAACTTATGCGTCATTATTACACACAATGTAAATCATCGAAACTTAGTTTCATTAGATGGCAAGTATATTGGAAGGAGAATTGGATTCAGATATATTCCCAGTGGAGATCAAAGTCAAGCAACATGATATGATATAAAGTTCTTGTAGCATTTAAGGGCTATATGAAATTATGATATCTGATTATGATAATAATTTCCAGTACATTGTACATTGTAAACATCGATACAAAAGACTGCGAGAATATTCCAAAATCCCAACGGGAATTGAGATAGAGGTTGGCGCAATGTATTGTTCATATATTATTATATTGTGCCAAGTCAAATATAACCACAATGCTACTAACTCTAGGATCGGACATTATGATTTTGCAAGTCAGCAAGATCAAAGTAGCTCAGTTGAATGGAAATCCGATCAAAACGAAGTTCTTGTTCTTTAAGACAATTTAGCTATGCGTATTAAAATTCACAAACATTTATAAATTCCATATGCACTTAATATGACGTATATGTGTTTGTCTGTATATGCTGATGACATTTTGCACTTCTCAATCTTTACGGGTCAACCCCTATGCGTGTTAGAAGTTCGTTGGGTTGTGTTCAGGCAGCTGCCACAAGTCAACCGCATAATATTCTGTCAACACAAGCGATATCACCCATTACACTTTTAATTACTTGAGGTGAGAGTACTTACATCTAGCAGTTACGTACTTACTTTCCACTCTAGTTTTTAATATTTTTTTTCTTGTCAATCAAGACATTTATATACAAAGCACAAATTTTTTAAAAGTTTCGTGCTTTGTCACAAAAATAAAATTAAAACTAAAAATGTGTCATATTTACGTTTTCAAATATCAAAATAATGTTTTTTTTTTAATACGACATTTAAAAATGTATCATTTCGAGTCGTATAAGCTATATTTGGTGCTTTTTACTTTCTAAAAAACTTTGCAGCGATGAAAATGTTGCGTGAAGGAAAAATATTTTCATGCATTAAAAACAAAACTCCCTTTATTAAAATAACAGAAAATATTATTAGGCATACAAATACAATTTTGTGAGTCAAAAATATAAAGCAAGCGTTTAATGCCTACCCTTGAGCTCAATGTCCCGTTGTTGTATTAATATAATCAATTTCAACGTCACTCGCCGTTGCGACTACACACAATGGAATAAAAGTATTATTGCTCTGAAATACTGCAATTTGCGTACATGAAAATATATGGTATACTGCCCGATTTATAATTAGAATTGATTCGCATTTTTCCGATCTTGGTAATTTATTAAATTTGAGCCGCTCGCAGTTATTTTCAAGATGTCGACGTTAGCAAAATCCCAAGGTCGACAATGAAATTTAACATTTTACATTATTGCAATATCACCACACCAAGTAAAGAGGTCGTGTGCGACCCGGAGGTAATTTAATAATGGATAATGGAACGGATAAACCTCAGGTGACTACGGTTTAGCTCACGATTGAAAATTCTGAAAATTTGCGATTCGAAAACGTCTAAAATACAGTTTTTAATCTGTCGCGGCACTCCTAAATCGAAATTTATGGTTTTCCCGTTTTATATATACCAACACCGCTTTTAATTCTTAATTATTCACTTCTTTCTTTTTCAGTGGAAATTGGATTTTTGGTTGTATTCAGCGTCTCGTCTCAGACGATCGCATAATAGCGACTAACGAGTCTTTCACGCGCACATTTCCGGATGATAAAAACTCTTTACCGACGTCCTCTGGCACATGTCCAGCGAAATACTTGAGAGAATTTGCGGACGTATATAGGTTGCATGTTTCCGTAATTTACCATTCATGTCTAATACAACATGTTTATATGAAAGATTACTTTCAGGCAATGCGCATACCAGTTGACTAACCAATGCATTATGCCATTCAAAATTTAGTTTTTCAAGGACGCTGAAATATTGCGTTTTTAGAAAGGATCAGATTGCTGTGCTCCTTGCACCAAAGTTACCACGATTGTAATCTGTTGTTTTCGACATCTCTTTCAGATTGTAGTGCCAAAATTTAAATATCGCTTCGCACTATTTCCTTTTCTTTTGCTTTAAAGGTGACCGATTTGGCTAAATTTATTTCCGATTATTTATCTCGATCCTCTACTTTACATACTCCACCTTGCTAGAATTTGATCTTATCAAAAAATCTTTTCATTTTTTTAATTATTCCTAGAGTCTGGATAGCCTTTATCGATCTTCAGAAAATCCGACAACATAATTTAATTAATTGACAAAAAAAATTATTTTTCTAGAAGCGCTTTCAATAAATTGCAAACCAGATCGATTTTTTATGAGCTCGAGACTTAATAAATGACTTTTTATGGATAGCATGCCGTTTAGTGAAAATTTATGACTGAGGCAATAAACTGAGGCATTCATGTTAAATCTTTTGTGCATATGTATAAATAGAATGTTATAAATAATCACGAATGCTTTTATGATATTCAACATCAACATAAATTTACACATTCAGCTATTTTAAGTGAAGACATCACCACCATGTGAAAAAAAAAATCATTGTATACATTTTTCGATAGCACTCGATCTCAAACTCAAATATTTTTTAAATAGCTAAAAAGAAAAACATATTTTTCAACAAAATTAGTTATACGAAAGTATAACCGACAGCCTCACTCGAAGAACATCATTCACCCTAACTCTGCATTGCAACGCTTTTGCTAACTCCCTGTCCCTGTATAGCCTTATATATTACTACGATTCGTAATTTTCTTTTCAATGACTTCCATCCCTCTTGAGTGGGTACTTGAGACTCTGGAATTATCTGATCTGAACAATCCGCGAGGATTTACTTGCCCCGATATCCCTGCTATATAGATGAATATTTTTGAAAGACAATAAAACCATGACAAAAACAATGTATATTATATGTTACCTTCTTACTCATATCTTAGGGCATACTTCCCAAATTATAGCAATAGCTTACGGGCGACATATCAATCTTATACAGGTGTACCATGAAGCTTCAAATTACATGCACTTTATGTCAACTTTATGAAAATAAGCCAACTAAAAAATCGCATGTCTAAAATCATATAAATATGCCAAACTTTTGGTATTTTGCAACGCTGGTCTAGGGTAGACTATGACCCGGTTGCATCCAAATATGATGGTTCAATAAACCGTAACAAGCAACCCAGTCCTTACTTTAGCCTATCAACCTATTTAGCGTATGTGACCGCACGTCAATGCAAAAACTCAGAGATATATAAATTTTTATCAAACCGACTCAAAGACCGCACAGATTTAATTCGAGGACTCCATGTTCGCTGCTTGAAAAAATTCACAATCAATACCCAATCACTGTTTTTACAATCTGCGAGGAAATGCAAACTAAAAAATCTTCGATAAAGAGAACTTTTAACAAATTACTGGAACACCAACGACGTCGAATGGAAGACGGGAATAAAAGAAAAATGAATGCGTTAAGCCTTGTGGGAGATGACTCATCGAGTACACTAAAAGTTATTTATAAATACCTGCTGTCAAAATTAAAAAAACGCTTAATAGTAAATTGTACGGATTCGTTTTCATCATTAGGATAACTTAGACACAGTTCAGATATCCGAGGCAGACGAATTTTGTGGGTTTGGCATAACGTTATAAACGTGAGCGTTCGTTGAGATTTTGAAAAAGTAAAGGAGTTTTGCATGTAAACTGCGAGTGTTACACGTACTTTACAAACGAATTGCCGATAACAACACATGAATTTCATTTCCTGTAACAAGGGAAAGTTTTACAATATATTTATTATACTTGATTCTGTAACGTACAAAGTTGTAGAAGTTACAAAGTGGTAATATAAATGTTACTTACTTACTCTCTTTCTCGTTTTCTTTTGTGATGTCATATTTTACCATAAATTTAGGGTCATTCGGGTCTAAAT